ATTTAATAATAATAATTATTATTATTAAATTATTATTTAATAATAATTTAATTAATAATTTAATAATTATTAGATCCATGCACTGCTTGGATCTGCACGCATATTACGAAAATACGTTACGACGTCCTAGGCCCCTGGGTGGGGCCCGACTAGTAACCAATGCCAAATCCGGCAAAACAACTGGCCGCTGTGATACAATTGTATAATAATAGTGCCACATAAGTATGATGTCTCTCTTGGACAACTCCACAGGTTGCTCTTCAGATGTCAGTTCAAGGGAACTGTGAAGCCTCCAACTAACATGAAGGATGAGTCCATTCCTGAATGACCATAATTCACAGCCATTTACATAAACCAGGGTTTTTGGGACTAAGTGTGTGATTTATGCTTAATCAAGAAGCCTAGGTCAGAATAGTGTGTAAGTGAGCAGGGTAGCACAATAACATGCCAATGTTAATACTTTTCCATAAGAAAGACAAAAAAAGATTGGATCGAGGATGTGGCAGTACAGGAAGACTTAAAAAACTGGTTGGTTCACATGATACTTTATGGCCATCATGACTTAAAATCACGTGGGCAGATTCCATTATAGTCATAAGTCAAGGAATCCTTTTTTCCCTCTCCAGTTCCAATTTGGGGCATTTGTAACAGTAGGGAAGCGCAATCTCTATACAGCTCCCAAAAAGCTTTGCCCGAAAACTTTAAAAAATGTTCTTTTGATGGCTGAATTAAAATCGGTCCACCAATCCATGAGTTGGCACAAAATCACACTGATGTACCATGTCCTGTGCAAGCTGCACCTTGGCAGAATGATGATGGTAGTATAAGAGGAACCTCCTGAAGAATGCCAAAATAAAAAAATCGACTGAATTCTCACTTCTAGTGCTTTCTTGCTTTTTATGAGCTTTATGAACGAACAAGAGAAATGCTCAAGCATTGATACACTCACACACCAATGCTCAAGCATTGACCCACTGACACACTAATCCCCAAACATTGATACACTGACACATCAATGTGTTATTTAATCAAAAGAAAAAGCAATAAAAATGTTTAGATGCTGATATGCGCAAGCATTGATACACTGACCCTCCAAACTGTAGGCTGTACTTTGCCATACTGCATGGCTGGCATGATGGCATGAGCTTCATGTTTTACATAACTGTTATTTAATGAAAAGAAAAGGCAAAAATGTTTAGATGCTGATATGAGAGATTTATTCAGGTTCATTTGCACATGAGAGATTTAGTTCTGTTCATCCATGCGAAGAGATCAGACATCACAGCGCTGCGATGGGTCATCAAGTCTATAGAATTCATGTTCACATGTCACAGGATTTACCACTGTTTTGCACCCTAGCACATTTATGGGACCACCATACCTTTGAAGGAGAAAAAAAGGAAGGTGGAGGAAGAGAAAGAAGGAGGGGTTATGGTCGATCAAAGTTTCTATCTTCATTGTTTCTACATAATATTTCTCCCATTATTTCTCCCATTATTATAACCACAGCTATGACTCTCGGTTCATGGCTGTCCCCAGGGGGGCCCTTCATTCCTCCAGCCATTCTCTTCTCAGGTCCAAGTCAGTTAAAACTCTTCTTGCAAATGAAGAACAAACCACATTAGAAAAATGATGTAGTGACTAACTGTTGCCTTGTGTTATTCTTTTTGCCAGTAAAATAAAGGTTGTTTTGTCTAGTCAACCCCCCCCCCTCCCAGCCATGGTTGCCACCAGCTTCTACAACAGTCACTGTGAGTTTAAGAAGACCCTACCCCAAACTGTGTACCAGTTCAATCTGGGGGAATGCCATCCAGTATAGAGTCAAAGGTGATATCTGAACTGGTCCTTTGGGCAGGGGGGAACTGATGACATTTCAATGCTGTGTCCCACTTTGAAACCAGACCAAATAGAGTTTGGGTAATTTGCTTCAACTTGGTCCCTTTGTGCATTCTTTCAACAATCTTCCTCAAAAAGGGAAGATTGGGGACCAGATGAAAGCTGTCTGTTGGGTCTAAGGATGGCCTCTAATGAAACCAGGTGGTTTCACCCTCTTCCACAGAGAGGCACTAAATATCGTTGGATCAACCACCTGCTCTCTCCCAGGAAGGAGAAGGGTCCAGAACACTGGTCACCAATCTCACACCTACAAAGACCATGTCTAGTTGTTCAAGAGCAACTGGCCAAACTTTTCCTAGATAACAAGGTTCAGCCAGGATCTGCCCAGCTAGGAGCCAACTCTGAGGAAAGCTGAGCTCTGTCTGAGAGATAGAATATTCCTTTCATAGCCACCCTGGAAAGCTTTCCCCACCTCCTGTGTACCAAGGAGGGACCTGATCACCCAAAATAGGGCTGATGATCAGCTATCTGTAAATGCAAAAAGGTTGGAGAAGTAATTGCACTTTCCTCTCCATTTCTCTTTCACCAGAAGATAAGTCCTAAAGTAGGTTCTTACATGCCTTCTTTGGCCTTGCTCTTTGCCTCCAGCTGTACAATAGGAATCTCTAATGCAGAAGATTTATGTAGAAGATTTGTTCTTCCTTCCTTGCTTCCTCACTCCCTCCCTCCCCCCCTCTCTCCGTGCTAACTCAATAAATGCTTGTGGCTTAACCTAAGAGAAAATGTGCTTGCTTGTAACCTCTTCCTACCTGTGGCAGCACATCCATCCATCTGTGTCACACTCACATCTTAAACAATGAGCTGTATTCCAAGTGGACCCAATGAGATGTGTTTTCCCATCAGATACATCAACACATGTATCTGGAGGCAAATCTTTACCTTAGAAAAAGAGAATGGAAGAATTGAAAATTGAACCGTCAACCGAAGCCAAATTGCCATGCTACACTGAGAAATATACTAGAGTTGGAGGCTATTTTGAGAAATGTACTCTTGGATAAATGTGACAAATTCTCCACATTTATTGAATATCATTATATTGTATTTTAATGACTGTTTAGATTTGTAAGGATTCCTGGTGATCAATCAACTTCTGCATTAATACAGTCAGTGTTTTCTGGCCAATTGGACAAAAGTGACTAGCATTCAAATTCTCTGCATTTGATGGAAAGCATGTTATTGATTGGTCAGTTTTGGAAGGACCACTGAGGATCAAATGACTTCTACATTGATATAAAAGATGTTTTGTGGCCCAGTTAAGAAACCTTTAATTAAAACCTAGGGTGTAAAAATGAAGCCAGCAACATTTCTCCAGGTAGGTGCTAAACCTTTATAAGCAGTACAGCGATGACTTGTTCAAATGTATAAAGAGTTTGGTTACCAGCATGAGATTTCGGTATCAAGGGACCTTGCATGCATGCTCCTTGGCATGCAGCCAGCAAGAGGGAGAAGAGGATCAGGCTGAAGAAGACTTTCTGAAAAAGGGAAAGGAAAAAGGAAAAGAAATAAGCCACGAAAGATCTTACTCATTGTTTCAGAAGTTGGCTGTTCGAAGTCTTTCTGATTTCCCCTCTGATAATACGATGAAGTTCATGAACTTTAGAATACGTTAGGTTTACAATCTTGCGCAAGTGTGTAGTTCAACCTCTGTTGCACAAGAGGGTCAACCTGGAACATCTCCCTCCCTTCTTTGTGCCAGCTGCACGCAAAAAAAGGATACCTGAATATCTCAGCAATTTGTTCATCTACCTAGTAGCCCTGAGACTGGAGTATTTTCAGTCCTTCCCCCCTCTGGAGGCAAAACTCTCCATTGGTATCATTGGGGTTGACCCACCACCACAGATGTTCCTTAGCCCCACATTATACCTTCTTCCCCCTGGGATGCTTTGTGGGAGGAAAGTGACAATTCTGACTATCTATTCCTGACTTGATTTGCCCTTCATACCAAATAGTCCATTNTTAGTTATTTACTTAGTTATTTACTTAGTTATTTAGTTAGTTATCTAGCTATTTAGCTACTTAGCTACTTAGCTGTTTAATTTGACACTTGTGTACAAAATAACAGGAATAAGAATAAACAGGAATAAGAACACAGGAAATGGGAACGAATAAATGGGGACAGTAGGACACGGACGGAAGGTACATTGGTGCGCTTATGCGCGCCCCCTTTACGGGCCTCTTAGGAATGGGGTGAGATCCACGGTAGACAGTTTAAGGTTAAAATTCTTCCAATATTTTACATCTTCCAATATTTGCACGTGGAAGGGGTTTTAGCGCTGGCGCCAAAGGAAGTTGGCCTGCAAACTTCTTCTTTTTTAAAAACTTTCTTTAGAGACACCTGGGAAAACAGCCCAGTGGTGAGGTGCTGTTAAACCGCTGGTTCAGTGAAATCACTGGAAATGGTTGGCTTGAAGGTGTGTCCCTGCTTAAAGAGGAAATGAAAATGTAAAAAGGGTGGCCTTTGTGCCACTCTGAGCCATTCTGCAAGAGGAGGAGTCCATGCCGTAAACTACCAGGAGATAAGAAAGTTTAGGAGAGCTTCGTTGGACTGGGAATGTAAGCAGGAAAAACTTCACGCACTAATGTTTGTTTTGCAAATAACTGCAAAGATTGAACTTCTGCTGAAAAGCAGGCATGATTCAAGTGTGTGTGATTCAACTGCTTTCACCGTGTCTATCCTAGTATGATTTCTGTCGATTGCTTATTCAGTATCCTATGACTATCACTGGGTGTTGCGTGTTATGATTTAGGATGAATGTATTTTACGATTATAGTCATGATTTCTCACTTGTGCCTTGCTTGTACACTTGAGAGCGTATGCAGTGGAGACAAATTCTTGTGTGTTCAATCCCACTTGGCCAATAAAGCATTTTAATTCTAATAAAAATTGCATCAATGGAGTTAGGGTGTGAACTGGCAGAAAGATACCCACAATCTTCACAATAGAAACACCCTTCATTTAAAACCAACATGATTTCAGATATGAAACCTCATGGATTGAGAGATACCAGTGATGGCCAACCGTTTTGTCGCCTGGTGCTGAAATCGCATGCATAATGCATTGTGCGCTTGCGTGCCACAAGTGCCCTGTGCATGCATGCATGACCCCCTGGGTGCACCCCGGCCCTTGAACATGCATCCACGGCCCACACTGTGCTCCCCCTGCTCCCCTGTGCATGCACACATGACCCCCCCAGACATGCACCCCATGCATGAATGCGTGACACTCATTCATGCGCACATAACACCCATGTGTACACATGCAACCCCACACACACGCCCTGGCCCCCATGCATGCACGCATGTCTCCCACATGTGCCCTGCACCCCATGTGCAGCAGAGACCCAAAACCCACTAGTTGGAAGGGGCACACACGCATATACCTGAGAGACCGCCTCCTGCCGATTACCTCCCATAGACCAATCAGATCTCACAGGTTAGGTCTCCTCCGGATTCCATCCGCCAGCCAATGTCGGATGGCGACCCCCCCGGGGGAGAGCTTTCTCTGTTGCAGCTCCAGCCCTCTGGAATGTTCTCCCTGTCGAGATCCGGACCCTTACGACCCTCCTACACTCATGTTCTACACCCCCAAGAAGTAGTTTACCAGGACCTTGGA